TTTTACCCATTAGCTGAAGCTGTAACTGTGCAGGATGGTGCTTCCTAGAAAAAACAACCAACTCAGTTTTCTCCGGAGAGAATTCGATACCCAGCTTCAAAGCCCAAGTAGACAAGTTGTCTTTGAAATAAAAATTATAAAGAAGGGGGCTTAAACATGAGCCCTGGGGGAGACCCATGTAACTAATTCGTGAAGTTGTCGAGTTTCCATGAGAAAAGCTCATATATTTCTCAGACAACAAGTTGCTCAAATAGTTGTTCATAATTGGTGAAAGCCCACTATCGTGGAGTTTATCCGAAAGGACATCGATACAAACAGAATCAAAAGCCCCCTTAATGTCCAAGAAAACTGAACCCATTTGCTGTTTTTGCGCATAGGCCAGTTGAATTTCAGTTGAAAGCAACGCAAGACAGTCGCTCGTTCCTTTGCCTCTCCGAAATCCAAATTGCGTATCTGAAAGTAAACCATTCGACTCGACCCATTTGTCTAGACGAAAAAGAATCATTTTCTCCAACAATTTCCGTATACAGGACAGCATCGCGATGGGACGGTACGAGTTATAATCCGACGCGGTTTTACCGGGTTTTCGAATGGCGATAACTCTTACTTGCCTCCAGTCATCCGGAACAATGTTGTGCTCCAGAAATTGATTGAATAAGTTCAACAAGCGTCTCTTCGCGACGTCTGGGAGATTTTTGAGCAAGTTAAACTTGATTCTATCCATTCCTGGAGCTGAGTTGTTACATGAGCAAGTGAGAATTCCACCATCGAAAACGGATAATCTATTTCGTTATTACCCGACGGACGATCACGAACGTTGGTTTGAACCGGCACCGAATCCGGACAAACTTTCCGCGCGAAGCTGAATATCCAACTGTCTGAGTACTCCTTGTCTTCGTTGACCGGTGATGACGCGTTTCGCATTCTCCTGCCGACATTCCAGAGTGTTCTCATGGAAGTCTCTCGCGACAAACCATCGACGAACCGACGCCAGTAACCGCGTTTCTTGGCTTTAATCAAGCACTTGAAAGTTTTCTCGAGGTCGGTGTACCGCTCGAAATCCCCGACCTTACCGTGTTTGCGGAAGCGTTTAAACGCGGCGGACTTCTCGCTGTTCGCGTTGGTGCAATCCTTATCCCACCACGGAGTGAGAGGTCGTTTGCGAATGGAAACACCCGGAACGCGTTTCGTCTGTGCTTGAAGAGCGCAGTCAACGATAAGTCGCGATAAAAAGACGTACTCTTCCAGCGGAGGGAGTATCTCAACCGATTCAATACCACCGAGAACCGTGGCCGCAAATTTTTTCCAGTCGATGTTTTTCGTGAGGTCGTACGCGATGTCAACCGAGCGAGTGGAAGATGAACCATTGGTAATAGAAATTTTGATTGGCAGATGATCACTACCGTAGCGATTGAGCCTTCCAAATAAACGAACTAGATAAAAAAAAAAATCACTACCGTAGGGATCTTGGATTACTTTCCACGAGCAATCTAACGATAGTGAACTCGAACAAAGTGAGAGGTCTAATCTGCTTACTCTTGCTGGAGGTTTGGCTACTCGTGTTGCTTCCCCGGTGTTCAGAATTGTCATTTTGAAGATGTCGCACATGTCGTATATCAAGGTTGAGCGGTTGTCGTCGTACAGTTCCCCCCAGCCTGTACCGTGAGAGTTAAAATCTCCTAAGATCAACCGAGGCTCAGATAAAACTGAGCAGATATCTGAGAGACCTTGGCGAGAAATCGCAGTTCTCGGAGGAAAATATACTGAGGCAATACTGAGGCTTTTACCTCGAATATTTACCTGACACGCGACAACTTCAATGCCTGTCACGGAAGGCAGATCGATTCTATAAAAGGAATGGAGCTTATTAATCCCTAGAAGCACCCCTCCATACGAATCTGCTCGATCAAGGCGAATAATGTTAAAACCGTGGAAAGGGAGATCGGTGTCTGAAGAAAGCCATGTTTCACAAAGAGCAAATACGTCACAAAGTGAGTTTTGAACTAAAAATTTGAATGCGTCAAGTTTCGGTATAAGACTTCTACAGTTCCACTGAAGAAGAGAGATCATATCTCCGACCTCATTCGGAAAATTATCCATCAAAAGATATGATCGATGCAAGGAAGGACCACCTAGAAGCTAGTTGCTTCAAAAGAGTTTTCACAAATGGAAGCACTAAATTAATAATGTTCCTAGTTGAGTCAGAGACGTTAAATATATTGAAGATGCTATTCAGCTGTTTTTCTGGCTGAAAAACTGGGATATCTGGGGTTTTAGATGATCCTGGAAGTGGCGGAAAGTCTTTGTTAAAATTACAAACTTTAAATCCCGGTGGTGGGGGTTTTGCTACATTTCCGCTACCTCTTAAATTTGTCAAGGTAGGTTGAGAGTCCGTACGAGAGGCCTTACGAGGTTTTTGGGTGACGTTTGTTTTGGACCGCTTCCTCGTGTTGCCGTTAAAGACAAAAGGACTACTCTCACCACCCTCTGAGTCAGAGCCCTGATCATCATCTGGCAGGAGGTGGAATGTGTTGTTGCTTTTTGGGGTGGTTTGGGAAGATGAAGCGGTCGTTTTCAAAATTTCTGCTAACGAGCGCTTAGAGCGAGCTTGCAAGGACCGCTTTAGTTTTTCTCCCTGCTGTTTGTACTTCGGGCAATCACTCAGAGCATGCGGAGCATCCTTACAGTAAACGCATTTTGGTGTAGCATGACAAGGACCCTCCGTATGCTCCTCCCCACATTGATCGCACCGCGGTTTGTTGGAACAAAAGTCCGCAGTGTGACCTAGTTGTTTGCATTTCAAGCAATTCATTACCCTCGGTACAAACAAGCGTACAGGTAGTCGAACCTTCCCAATTGTGACGTAGTCAGGTAATGCCGATCCTGAAAAGGTCACACGAAACGAATCTGAGAGGGTATACTTTTTGTTTGTGCCTATGTGTGACACTGACTGCAGTTGAATGCAGTCCAGTATCTTGACTTTCGGGAGGGCACGGTTTTTGAAAATGCCGAAAGATTCGACTTGCAGGAAATCCTCACAAGTCAGACTCGAATCGGTGACCACTCCTTCAATTTCTACGTCACAACTGGGGACGTAGACTCGATATTCGATCGAAAAAAGCTCACAGGCAACAATTCGGTTTGCCTGTTTCAGGTTATCAACGGTAACGCGCAGTTTGTTTGGCGTCACCTTAAAGATATCGGTTACGGCCGAAAAATGTTTTGTCAGATCCTTCGAAATCCGAGAAATATTCAAAGGTTTTTGTTTGGGCCGGAAGAAAACAACCCACGGACCTTTCGAGTCATCAGGGTAAGCCTTGTGGCGGGGGGTCGCTGATATTTTCGGGGGAAGGAGTGGAGTAGGGGGCACATAAGGACAAGGTGGCGATGGTGGACAAGGCGGTGATGGAGGAGAAGGGGGCTGTGGTAGAGATTTCACTTTTGGATAGGCTCCAGTGTTCTTGCTGGTGGTTTGATCAAGGTGCTCTTCGAGGGTATCCATTTCCTCAGAGCTATCAAGCTTTTCAAATGAGGGAGACTTTATTGACTCATCATCAGAGATGTCAAGCGACAGACCCCCGCCTTTATTTGTATCATCCATTGCGGTGACTTAAGATACCACCGCAACGGAATTGGTTGCAATCTTAGCTATTAAATGTTTATATTTTCCACAAATTTCAAATATATGGATTGAAATTGGAAAGGAAACAACAAGAAATGGAAGTCAACACTGTGAGTGAATTGCTCAGTGTTAAAAAATAAAAATAAAATAAAATATGTGCAAAAAAAAAACTAAATAAGATAATGATATGAGAATGATAATAATAAAAATAATAATTTGTAAGAAAGGAAATTCAACGCTGCAGGGGGATTACTTAATATTAGCAAACAAACAAAAAAAAATATTTACAAAAAAAAAAAAAAAGAAATAGGCTGAGAAAAAAATTAACTTATCTCTATATGCCGGGATGGCGCGTTTACAAACTCCACTGTGCGGTGAAGCAGAGATGATAGCTCTATTGTTGCAGCACGTGGCTTAGCACAAAGGGCACCGTCCGGTCTGGATAGACCGTATCTGCAGTTCTGCTGCTTCGTTGTACGGTGTATACGGGTGATGACCTTTTGATGCCGTATGATGCGATGTCTAGGTGGTGGTTGATGGACCGTTGGACAATCCAATCTTCAGACTCGGCTGAGATGGTTGCTTCCTCCGGGGAACGTTTATGTCCGCCTGTGGCACTGCACACCAGAAGGTGTATAAAAAAAATTCCGATCGGGGAGAGAAAAAAAAAACCCACTTTTTTTCCGAAAAACACTTTTGCGGCGGCGGGAGAGTAGCGTAAGCAAACTTGCTCTGTCGAACGTTCGACGAGGAATGATAAGGCATCGTTAGAGATGACTTTTTAGAATTTTGAAGGCTCAAAAAATATGAGGTATACAAAAATTTTCTCCGAAATTCGAGCGCGGGCAGGAAATAATCAATTATACTTTTTTTAAAAATAAATCGGTATAAAATCTCAAAAATCGGTATTCTGAGGAATCTTATCTGTATATCGGTATCTAGTTAGGAAATCGGTATAAATACCGATAACTCGGTATCTGCTACAAAAGACTTAGTTTTGAGTTGTTTCGATTTTCCGTGATTCATCAATTTAAGTTACCATATTCACCATACCATACCAGCTACCATATTACTCATATTATACACACTATTTCAAAACTCCCTAAATTTGGGTAAAATCCACCCAGATCGGTCAAAACTGAACCTACCCAAAAAAGGGGTAAACTGTGTTGGGACTAACAAGTTGACAAATGAACAATGTCGATCGGATTCATGTCGATGTTGTTCATTTGTCAACTTGTCACTCCCAACACAGTTTACCCATTTTTGGGTAGATTCAGTTTTGACCGATCTGGGTGGAATCCACCCAAATTTAGGGAGTTTTGAATTAGCGTGTAAATTCACAAAAAAAAAGAACATTATTCAAAACAAAAACAAACTTCGTCTTCCGCCGTTTAGCATAGGTACATTATTCATGCAATCGTGCATAATATATTATATTTAAAAAAATACAATGTTTTATTAGGTAAGTATCTTTATATATATGTTTTTACAATACATTCGGTCACTTCATCACAAACCAATTCCATCCAGCATAGCAACCTCCCAGCCTAGTCAAGAGCATGGATCTGGAAGCCCTTCCACCGGAACTAGTGTGGCACATTCTGGACAATCTCACCGATCTACGGGACCGTAAAAATGCTTCCCTGGCGTGCAAAGCGTGGAACTGGATGTTGTTCAGCTCGCCGATAACGCTTCGCTCGGTTAGTCTACGGGTTTGTCCAAAGATTGCCAGCTGGGAAACCGTGGACGCCGAAGAACTGTTCGACCGCATGTTCGATGCCTTGGTTCACAGTAAGAGGAACTATGTCAACTTGGAGTTCTTTCATGTGAACTTTGCGCGGCCAGTGGCTCGGGAGTTTTTGTTCTTTATGGTGCAGCTGTGTTGTGATTCGATTGAGTGTCTGTGTTTTACAAACTGTCATGGTCTGCGGCGCAGCGAACTGTGGCAAGTGCTGCAGCTGTTGCCAAAGCTGAAGGAACTTACTATTTCCGGCGGGATTTACTATGATGAATTTGATAACGATGCAGAGGTGTCAGAGCTGAATCAACTGGAAAGCTTGACCCTTGATATTGGAGATGATTGTCGATTGTATCATGATTTTTTGACAAATCTGCCAAATCTGATGCGGTTCAATATTCGGACGATTCATGGATGTATCGATCTGTGGGATGTCATGCTGACGCGATGTTTGAGTCAGCAGTTGAACGCTTTGAGGTTCTCCACCAGTCGGTGTTTCAATCAATCGGAGTTTTCCGAGATGAGTTTTTCAAACCTGACAAAACTGGAACTAAAGATATCCGGATCGGTGTGGCCACAGTTGTTCAAACAGATGAAAGTACTGAGGGAGTTGCATCTGGAAGCCGGTATTAATGATGATGTTATTGCAGCCATTTGTGGAACATCAACGAAACTAAAGAAATTGAGCCTTCTCTGCTCCGGGCTTATTGAGTGCAGGAAGTTCAACATGCTATCGAGATTGGAGTGTCTCGAGGATCTGCAGGTACGAGGCATCCATAAGTTTAGCTGGCGTCACGTAAACTTTTGCATGCTGAAACGACTGCATGTCGATAACGTTGGAACTGATTTCACCAACTTTTTGAAAGAACTTTCCACTCTGAAATCGTTGGAAATTCACGATACCAAAATGAAGAATGAGCAGTTGATAAAGGTTACCCTGAATGCCCATTCGGTAGTACGTTTGGAGCTTGCATTCTGTAACAAACTGAGCGATAAAGCATTCAAACACTTAACAGACATGGGAAGCTTGACAGACCTTCGACTATGGGGCATCAACGTGTCCAAAAGCATCGATGATCGATTAACGTGTCCTAAGTTGGAGAAAATCATTTTCTACTTCAATGATAATGTGAGTCGGTACTTTCATCGATACCAAGTGCTTCAAATGTTAACAAATGCATTTCACTTTTAGATCGAGGATTCCACGCTGGAAGCATTGGCACAAAAACTACCTCAACTGAAGCTGCTGGTTCTATACGACTGCTACCGGATCAGTTCCCAGGGAGTGTCGAACCTTCGCAAGAAGCTACCCGGCTGCAATGTGTTGGAGTTGTACCGAGGCGACGAGCTACCACCGGCGCTGGTGGCGGAAACTCAAATATACTACCGCAATGCCGAGTTTCCCAATGGAGTTCTCAAGCAGGAGCTGCCCTTCCAGTGGTATTGATGAGATCAACACTGGAAGATTATGTTTTTAATGTATGCGTGGAATGTTGGCATTTGGTCCATTGAAGCATGTTGAGGAGCATTTGTTCAGTACCTAAGCAAATTTTTTCGGTTTTATTATGGTCTTTAAGTCCATTCTAAGCCTTATAATCCTCCGAGATAGTCACTTGGGTATCCTAATTTGCGTATTGTATGAATAAGTCGTAAGATGTGTTATACGTAATTTAATTCAACATTCTACAACTGGTGATCAACTGATCATCATGTTAGGGAGCTGAAGATGTACAGGATTGAAAAAGTCATGAAGAGTTTACTAAATATATTTAAACAATGATTTTAAGAGATTTATGAAGGGACGTAGGGTTAAGACAAGTCAACTCAGCTCATGTTCCTGTACGGAAATACCAATAGGATTGTAGTAACTTAAGATCCATTGAAGCAGATATATCAGCCTGAAGTTTCGTCAAATCTGAGTCTAACAAATAAACTATTGAATAAAAAAAATACGTGAAGCCTGAGTTTTAGCGATCGGTAAAGGCTGAGATTATATCCCTTCACCTAATAGAAATGTTTGTGGTGCGAATGCGCAATGCATTTAAGTGTATATTGAAGAAATAAATATATAAAAATTGTCAGAAGGTTCGGTCAGATGTTGTCAATATGAAATTTCAAAAAATTCAAACAAACAAATGTATGACATTTCCCGAAAAATCATATCTCGGATTGAACCATTTTATTTTGCTGGATTTCAGTAAAAAACTTGCCGAGGTTCAGCTAACAAACATGAATTTTGCCGAGATTTCAGCTAACAAACATAAATGTGTGCAGTCTGAAACATTATCGAAAAAAAAAATTACCCAAGAATATATTGTGTGTGGCAGGATAATTTCTCAAAAGGGATTATAGGTTTTTTTTTATCTAATTTCCGTCCTACTAAACACAACCCTCGTTTTACCACTTTTTTTTAAACGGGTTTGAACAAAAAATAGAATATTTCTGTCAGAGAAGTCTTCTAAAGTTATTCACAAATAAAGAGTCACAAATTATTGAGATATTGTTTAAAATCTAATACTGCTTATTGATTCTAAATTCGTCCTACGAGTTTCAATTCCGTCCAAACGCATTGAAAAGCCATTAGATTTTCTTCGTCCTACGGATAAACATAGAAAAAGAGGATGCGCTGGGAGCGCTTCTTTTGTTTTGAAAACAATGAGCGTAAATATTCATAAAATGCGCTCTTATTGATCAGTGCACGGTCCCTAACCTCACTTTTTGCTCCCTATCATTTTGCTTCTGAGTAAAAGAGATAGCAACGAATGGGAGCCAAAACAAACCACCCAAAACTGTCAAAACTTACGGGTGAGAGAAGAGTGCGGCAAATCTTCGTGAACTGATCAATAGGATTTATGTTGTAGCTCACGCTAACTTGAATGTACCCATTAAATGCGTAAATTTGACTCATTTTATGCTATTATTCCAAACTGTCAAAAAATGGGTATTTTCAAAAAATTAAAAGCGGGTAGTTTTTAATCATTTTAAAATTATCTTCTTGCAATAAAAATGGGTAAAAAAGGGTTTGGTGAAATGGAAGAGCAAAGTGTATTGAAAGTTAACGGATTTCGCGTGTGCTATGTCCTGCAAATTGATCGGAATTCGGGCGATAAATACCGCGTTTCAAAAAAATATGCGGCAGAGGCAGCAGATTCTTTCCGGCCGGTGTTGATTCTGGTGAAAAGGGTGATCGGGTAGTTCCATTATTTCCATAAGAGTCAAACCGCAAACCTAAGTGTTGGGGAAGATCCGAGAGAAGATCAGCACGGCATTTCTGTGTGCTTTCAAGACCCGATTGCTACGAAGAATGTAATTATGATTAAATTTAGGTATGTATTCTAAAAACCGACGGTCCCGTTTCAGGTTAGCAGATTAATAGCGGGTTCGGAGAATAAAACGATGGTTATATGCCCAGGAATCCAAATCCGATTGTACATTTGGAACGAATAGAGGCAACTTCTTTACCTTACAAAAATTACAATAATGTCTACAACTTACTGCAACACTCGCATATTCCAGTACATCGGTTAATTCTAGTGTTTATGATTACCTATGTGATTATGTTTAATAAAGACTATGAAGTGTTTTAATGATTTTAGCTTTTACAAATGTTCAAATCCCTTATATTTCTCAGTGCTTATATTTGATGGCAGCCAGCCCAATGAAGCAAATAAAAAAACAATCAATAAAACGGTTACTTTTTACTCATTTACAGAAAAAACAAGATGATTAAAAACTACCCATTTTATGAAGTATTATTCGAATACTCATTAATGAGTAAAGTCGCTTTTACTCATTTCATGAGTTAAGCCACTTTTCTTCAAAATGAGTCAAATTTTACTCATTAATGGGTACTTTAGAGTTAGCGTGAATGAACTAACGCATCGGAACAAACCTATCAGGCGTGATATTTGATAATGGCACAAAAGCTTATGTAAACAAACTTTATAAGGCCCTTTACACGCGAACCAAAGTACGCCCATGCAAACCAACAACATCATCGGGTAGGGGCCTTTCTCACCTTTCCGAAAGTGGTTCGCGTGCAAAGGACATTACAAGAGCAAATTTTCATTACGTCGAATGTAACAAAGGTAAACAAAGTCGAGCTATCAGTGTCAATCGATTCTCCTGCTATTACACTATATGCTGTCCGAATATAGGATCAAATCCCATTTTTAAATTTATTTACCAGTCAAATTGCTTTTTGACGTAATCACCTTCCGATCAAAATAGTTTTCGATGTTACTTAAGTCACCCAATTTCTATGGAGATGCCGTTAGACTTAAGTAACAGCGCTGAGAAACCCGTGAAAAGTGTACGTTCGTCGTTTCGCTTTCTCATTATTAAAGTGAATAAATCGAACTGTTTGTTGCTAAGATGATTTCGGTGGTCCTAAAATGATGAATGGGCTGCACGTAAGGAGACGTAATTGATAATTCTCCCGAATATCCTGGTAAATACACTTTGACTTAAGTAACAATAGGGGCCACCAAACGACGTATAATAACTTTTGACTCAAAAACCAGTATTTTTTAGCATGAAAGCTAGCGATTTGCATTTGTATGATTAAAACCCTGCTAAATATGTTAAACATTGCTATCACTATGAGATTATATGTGTTTACTTGGAAATAGGAATAACTTTTCGGTCATCTAAACAAAACTTTATTTTTCTCGGATTGGTGCGAATGTTACTTACGACATAATGAAAATTTGCTCTTGATTACAAAGTTTGTTTACAAAAGCTTTTGTGTCGTTATCAAATGTTGCGCTTGCTATTATTGATTTGTGCTCGGTGAAATTGATATTGTGGCGCTTATGTTAAATTCTCATTTGGTGACGGTCGAAGCGCGCCGCTCATAAGTGGGATGGAACCCCGCCCATAAGGATTATACACAGGTGTGTAACTTTGATAGTATTTTATGGCAGCGGCTTGAGGAGCAAATCCTGGATAAAGAGCCGCCGTGTGTTAAACACACTGTAACTGGAAAGTGCCCATTAATGGGAAAAATTTCACCCATTTTGAAGTAAAGTAGGTTAACCCTTTATATGGGTAAAAAAAAAACAACCGCATAATGGGTAAGTAATACCCATATATGAGTAATTATTACCCATTAGTGGGTAAACGTTACTCATTTGTTTACCCATTAAATGGGTTAACCTAATTTACTTCAAAATGGGTGAAATTGTACTCATTAATGGGTACTATAATGTTAGAGTGCAATGGGCGCAGTCGTACCAACAATCAATTCGAATCTAACGATTTTAAATTGGCTCACCTGACTAGCCTATTGGTCCCAAGCAAACGATTAACGTATCCCATTCTAGTCGAAATTCTAGTATTGTGTGTGGCAGGATAATTTCTCAAAATGGGATTATACCATCTGCTCTCTGTTTATGGCCGTACGACTGCGCCCATTGATTTAACACACGGCGACTCTTTATCCAGGATTCGCTCCTCAAGCCGCTGCCATAAGAAACTATCTAATAGCGAATTCGTTTATTATTCAGTTCCAACCTGGATCGGGTATCAAGATTGGGTCTGCTTGTTTTCTGACAAACGTCAGTTTGCTCGTTTGTTTTTAAAACCTAGCTCAGGTTGAGGTTTACACTGACAAAAAGTTCGGTTTCGCACTGGGTTGGAACTGGTGTTAACCCCGATAATAAACGAATTCGCTATAAGTTACACACCTGTGTATAATCCTTATGGGCGGGGTTGCATCCCACTTATGAGCGGCGCGATTTGACGGTCACCAAATGAGAATTTAAAATAAGCGCGACAACAGTAAGATTGATAAATATAATATATTCTCTCGTCGATTTTCTCTTTTGTTAATAACTCGCTAGATTTAACGTTTCTCGATGCGTTTGCTGTTGCTTTTGATAGCCAATACAACCTGTTACTACTCTGCATTGAACAAATTCTAGAAAATTGTTTCGCCTAGCTGTAGCAATGCAAAGAGAAAATCGATGAAGAGAATCGATCATCGCGTATTCGCCCTTATGAATGCTCACTGTCGATATTGTCTGTTTCTTTGGTAACAAAACACGCCGTAAACGACGCAGAAATCGTCGCCATAGGAATTTGTATGGCGATGATTTCTGCGTCGTTTTCGGCGTGTTTTGTTACCAAAGAAACAGATAATACCAAAGAAACAGATAATATCATGTCAACATTTTCATATCAAACTTCTATGTGCGGTTGTGTGATTGTGGTGTGCTTACGTAAAATGAGTTTAAGGTGCTTCCCTGTAGCGTCCTCTTTCACATCTAAAAATAATAAGGTTTCTGTGAATGGACGCAGCTGAAACTACTACTTATTGTTTGCTGCGGAGAAGCAAGGAATGTCTGAAATTTTCAGATGTATACACCTCGTAGATCTTGAGATGTGTGCTCTTGAAATTGCGAGGTGTGATGGAAAAACGGACTCTACGAAGAAACACCTTAAGGCTGTGAACCATTTGCCGAGTTAAATTTAACTCGTGGTTAAAAGTGACATTTCGAAAGTTATTTTCTATGTTCGAAAATCCCCGTGCTGTCGATCGACCGGTTTTCGAGCCACGGTTGTCAAAATTTAACTTCTTGTCTGTCAGAAATAACCATGCTCGGATAGCAGGGTTAATCGATAACTTTTCATCTGTCAAATTTTAACCAAAAGTTAAAATAATCCACCAAATGGTTCAGAGCCTAAGGCCGCGGCCTGGGTACACGCGACACGCGTCGCCACGCCATGCGACTCACGCAAGGAATAATAATAAATAATAAGATTCTTTTGAATTGGTCGCGAATCGCGTCTACCCTGGCCGCGGCCTAAGTGATTTACATGTATGAAAACGTGATTCAATATGACGGCATCGATTTTATTAGTGGAAGAAGTGATTCCTTAACAGCATACTGCAACTGTTTGAAGGGATTTTTTTATATTATTTCGCTTTAATTGAAATCGATCATACACTGCTAACTAAACTTATTTCGATTTCAGAGGCTGAATTACAAGATACAATTTACGGGCATTTTCCAAATTTCAATTTAGCCTGACTCGGCAGTAAACAGTGCAAACGCCCTGTGCTTCGGTCAGAGAGCGTATAGGGCGTCGTTGTGCCAA